AGGATGGAGCCAACATGGGTACATATAAGGCACAGAAATAGAACCAGCATTTCTGAATCATAATGAGTAAAGATGAGAGTGGGACTCGGAACACAGAGAACTTTACAGACCACATTTAAGTTGCTTGTGGTTTTAATTTCAACAAGAAGTTATTGGAAGTTGTTAAGCAGTTGAGTGATTTCATTTGATTTGCTATTTGACTGGTCACTTTGTTTGCAGAGGGAAAAATGGATGGATGGGGTAGGTGTGGTGAGTGGGCGAGAGAAGCAGAGAGATTGAAAGCAGGGAGACCAGATAGGAGGATATTAGAAAAGGCCCAGATGTGATTTTTGGCTTGAGCCAGGGAGATAACAGCGAAGATTGCAAAAGACAATTGGATTGGTATGTGTGTTAGAGGTAGAGTCCTTTCTAATAGATTGACTGCACTGCTTGTAAAATGGAAATTAAGGAGGATTACTTTATTCATGCAATTCATATCTCTTAGTCCCTGTCCTCTTCTAAGCACTATATAGGGCACAGGTGATATTATAGTGAACATCCATACACCAATCCTTGCCTTCAATAAAACTTTAAAATTGGTGAAGAGATTGTTAAAATAACCATACAAATGAATAACTACAAGCTCAGGAAAGGGCCAGTGAAATAAAGCTAACAGCTGTTGTAATGGGAAGACCTGATTTAGCCAGGGTGGGTGGGTGGATATGCCAGGTGAGGGAATGCTAAGATCTGAAAAAGAACTGGGGTATAACTAGGTGAGTAGCAGTAGGGGTAGAACAGTGGGGAGTGCTGAACAGTGGAAAGGGAGTGTGGCAGTTGAGAAATGGACCCCAAAGAGCGCCAGTGGGACTGGAAGGCAAAGTAAGGGAGAGTGAAAAGTTGAAAAGGGTGGCATTGCGATGGCTGTATGTGGTCTTGCAGGTCATGTTAAGGAGTTCAGTTTTTATCCTAACATTATGGAAACCTTTGCAGGAAACTCTAATTGCCCAGGATTCTTTTCATTCTAAATTTCGTATTTTTTCATTCAGTTTAAAATGAGAAAATGGCAGAACTGCAAAGTGTCCTTAAAAAACAGAGAAACTGCTTGCATTCAGTTAACATAATTAGGTGATTCTGGAAGGATCAGCAAACAGGATCATCTTCCCCTCAGGTGCAATTGAACATTTCGAGATAGAGCAGTGATTATGGTCCTGCTTTATGACACCATCAATATTATTTTCCCCAAAGTTGTGTTACCTTTGGCCAGTATTTCATGGACACTTCTCTGGACCCCTGAGTTTTACGAGTTTATGCAGCATGGAAAAATGTGCAATGAATGCCTGTGTAGGTAAAATAAAATAATTGATTTAATTGTGGGTGTCAAATTATAAAACCAGATCAGATGATATTAAGGTGATTAGAAAATGTTCATCCATTAAATAAATTGACCCAGCTGTGATGAGTAGAGCAGTGGCAGTCATCTTTGCACCATTAGGACCTGTCCAGTGGAGGGAAGCTAACTGAATTTTTAGAGGACTTGTTAAGCCAGTGCATTGAACAGTCCTGAAACTGTTCCATTTTCATGTTCTTGTTTAATGAGAACTAAATGTTTTATTTATTTATATATATAATTTAAACCATTATTCAATAAATATTTATTGAACACATAGTCTCACTTCCAAGGCCAAGAGCCACAGTAGGGAATAACATATGTCCCTTCATGGGACTGAAATTCTCTGGAGGAGAATGGTAATAAGTGACTAAATTAATGATAAGTTAAATTTGAAGTTAATGCCTTTCACTTTTCCCCAGACCAAGTTTTCCCTCTTCCTGACCCTTCTCTTTGCTCAGAAGCTTTTGTGAACGGAGGGCATCACGAGTTTCCTTTCTTCCCTAACTTCTAATTGCATTCAGCCAGTGAGAGCCCTATCAGGAAACTAGGGGGTGGAGAAGAGAGGGATGATGTGCTAAGGTGGGATTTGGCAATGGAAGCTTGTAAGGGCAGAACTGGCCACAGTGCAGGTTTTCTGATCCCATGCAGACCAGGTGAAGGAGGAGTCAGAGTCCTCAGTGGTTTTGCAGGCCTTTTATTGGGGTTCAGCGGGTACATGGCAGGCAGGGGTGCTGGGGGGCAGGGAGGCTGGCAGTCCTCCCAGCCCTCAGCAAATCTTCACTCTATCCGGACTCTTTGGCGTTCTCTGCTTCTACTTCAGGCTTCTTCTCTTTTGGCTTCTCTCTTGGCTTCTGCTGCTGCTGGCGTCCCGGTGACGCCGCCCTTAAAAGCCCAGTCTCAGCCCAGGTGAATCCCATCTACCTATGCCCACACCCTACTCCAGGTGCCCGCCATCAGGCATGCATTCAGGACCACAAGGATCCATCATCTATCCTGATAGCGGGAGGGCAGAAAAGCCTGACATTTTTTTTAACCTTACCTTACAAAGCTAAAGCTCCGTTTCATGTTGTTTTTATCTGTCTCATGTCCCTGACTCTCAGCTGGCTCCAGTAATTCTGTTCCAGCACTCCCGGACCTCCTAATCTTGTCCATGTGTGTCATTTCCCCCATCTTCTTTTTTTTTTTTCACATTCTTTTTTTTGTTCTTAAGATTTATTTATACAAGCACTGGGTACAGTCAGAAGTACGGGAGGGTGAGAGAATTGACCAGAGCCAGAGCCGGGAACAGAATAGGCAGACTGATGAAATACACTGCTGAGGGGAGTAGCAGGCGCGACAGGAGAGGTCTACGCGCCATGTGGGACCCTCGTTGGTGGCCAGGGATTGAACCGGCGCTGCAGGGGCTGCGGCAGCCTCTCAGCCCAGGGCTCAACTGCTGCGCCACCAGGGTAGGTCCTCCCCCATCTTCGGAGGGAGCAGTCTCTTCTAACAGAACCCTGAAATGTGTATGTGGTAAATGATGTGTAGAAAATGAGTGGTCCTTCAGGAAGAGCCATTAATGCAGAGTGCAGTAGATTTAAAGGGCAGGTAATGAAAGCATCACAAGATAACTGGGGTGTAGGGACGATTCAGGCAGACGGAAGAGCCTGTGCAAAAGTTCTGAAGTTGTTCAGGAAACTTTAGACAAAGTGATGTGAACAAAACAAACATAATGAGGGAGAAATGTGGGAGGTGTGATCAGTGAAGCAGTTGGGCAGTTCTAGTGCCTTGCTGTCCCTGCGGGGTTCCAGTGCACTTGGGTGGAGGGATGCCTTTGTGGGTATGGACGGACTGGTGCTATGTGGGTATGAACAGAGAGGAGACAGATGGGTGGTGACTGCATATTAATAGTCTCCTGGCTTCTGTGTGGGGAAGGTACTGAAGAGGCCAGAGAGGAGCAGTGATACCCATTAGGAAGTGACTGGACAAGTAGGAGTTGTGAGGAGTAGTGGAATTCCTTTGTGTAGACACTTATCTCAGAAATGCTTATCTGAAACATTCTGAAATGTTTGTTGAATGAATATACAAAAGTAGGCTTGTGATTTTGTTTTTCAAATCTGTACTTAGTAAAGATCTTTTTAGCAATATATGAAAATAGAACAAAGATCTCATTAAATGAAATAAATCAGTTGAAGAATATGTACCTATAATAATCCTATTCTTACTTAGAAATGCTTATTCGTGGGCATGTAGAAGTGTTTACACACATAAGAAATAAGTCTTGAAAGACAAGTATCAGACTATAAGCACCATCTGGTGGTTGAGATTGAGGGAAAAGAATAGAAAGAACTTTTTTACTTACAAAAGCCTGCCACTGAGAAAATGAAATAGCTTTTTTATTAAAAAAAAAAGCAACAGATTAGGTAGTATGATAATATTGCATGTATAAGGCAAAGGAATGCCAGGGATTGCAGACAGTCACCAAAAGATGGGAGACATGGAAGTCATTTTCTCGGAGAGCCTTTAGAAGGAAGCAATCCTTCCAGCACTTTGATTTTGGGCATCTGGACTTCAAAATTATGAGGATAAATTTCTGTTGTTTTAAGCCAAAGAAATGTGTATGAAAAACAAAACAAAACAAAATAAAACTGTAGCTCTCCTCAATGTCAAATACTAATGAAAGAAAATTTAGAGTGAATAGAGTATTAGGAAACATGGTGTTGAAATAGGGCAAATTATAGCATTGGCCTGATGGATGTTGCGTGCAAATCATGAAATCTGCCTCCTAAAGAGTGTGCAAAGTACTATTTTCTTTCCTCAAAATATGGCTCTCTTGCTAAACTGTAGAAGAAGGATCAGGCCAGATGGCACAGTTGTCATTTTTCTGTTATACTTTCTGACCCAGCAATAAACTTTCTCCCACTTCTCCTTGTGGAAGTTACTTGCTTCATTGAGGGAGTAATGTCACCCTGGGACTGGACCTAGCGCCAGCGAGCTGGAAGCATCACTACTGACATACTCAATGAGATAATCCTCCAGGAGCTTTCTCTTGCCCCTTATTTGGTAATTTATAAACTCACAGGTGTTGGGCCAGAATTTATAACACAATATTAAGACATGCTGCGTGACACTGAAGCAAAGATGTTAAAACATAAAGAAGTGCCTTAAAAAGCAATAAAGGACCATCTAATCCACACTCAAGGTCAACCTGATTTCAAAATGAAGATTTTCAGATGCTACGTAGTAGCTCAGGGGGAAAAAAAGGTTGTTATTACAATAATACTAAAACCAAATGAGAAGGACAAATAATATAGTAATACCATTTAATTAACAGTTCTGTTTTACTTCATGCTCACTTGATGGAAGAATATGTTTTATCAGACTATTAAACTGATTGAATTTTAAGATATGAATATAATTACCTAGAAACAACAAAATGGTTTTTAAAATGAGCATATAGAACTGATTTCTTTGCAATTATTGTGTTCGTTGATTTATTTTTCATGCTTAAGTTTTGATGGATTCTACACTTCAGCAAAACTCCATAATAGCTAATACATCTCTCAGGAGCTGATGTTTGAAGAATTTGAGTTGTTTGGGAAATTATTTCTTTCTTAATGTTTTTTTTTCTGTTACTGTTTCTATTTTTCAGACACACTATGAAAACGGGGAATATATCATCAGACAAGGTGCAAGAGGGGACACCTTCTTTATCATCAGCAAAGGAAAGGTAAACATGTAACACAAGAGAGTAATGCAGAGGGGGAATCTGGGGCTCATGTACAATCTTTAGGGGAGCATTATTCAGGGCCTTGAGCTGTAGGGGTGTCTCTGTCTTCTCACACTAATTGACAATATTTGAGAATGGATCTCCCATAAATTATATAAAAGGAAAGAAAAATAGCTTGTGTGCTATTATATAACAACCATGATATTAAGTGCCACTGACATAGCTACATAAATGAAAAGATTTCCATACTTAAAATTATATAATTAAAACAAACAAACAAACAAAAAACACTTGTCAGATAAAAAGTCCTTAGAAGGAAGAAAATCCATCTCATCAATAGGGTTGGTAACATTGCTATCATAAATGGTCTTTTTGTTGATGGCCTAAGTCTGACTGTGAAACTTTGTAGTTTTAGTCTCCTTAGACAAGTTGCACTCTGAGAGTAGTAAGATGAAAATGCATACATTGTACAAAAATGAAAAATGATGTAAAAAATACACAAAATTAAAAAATCAAAAATTAAAAAAATAATTAAAATGAAAGAATATATATTCATGCTTTATTGCCTCCATAAAGAAATATTAAGTAGATGCTAAGAAACTATTAGAAGTGGTAAAGTAGAGGAGAAGGAATAAATATGAGATGGGCAAGGGATATGAATGAAAAATTTTAATTTTTTCCTTATTGTTTTAATTTTTCAGTATTTTTAATCTACCTTCATTTTAAAAATAAAAAAGAAGATATATTTATTTATTTATACAAGCACTGGGTACAGTCAGAAGCACGGGAGGGTGAGAGAATTCACCAGAGCCAGAGCGGGGAACAAAACAGGGAGAGTGACTACACTGCTGAGGGGAGCAGTGGGCGCGGCAGGAGAGGTCTGCGTGCCATGGAGGAACCTCGCTGGTGGCCGGGGATCGAAATTAAAAATAAAAAAGAAATTACATGAATTGGAAAATGGGGATTTGTGTAAACTAATATTCTAATATATTACTAAAAGTATCTTTCAATTTATTTCAATAGTAATATGAATTTTGCATGTGTCATTGCATCATTTCTATGATTTGATCTTATTTTGCTTCATCATAATATCCTTAAAAAGAACTTAGAGGTATTAAATAATGTAAGAGGAAAGGAAATGCAGGGGATTTATAGGACAGTTTTCATTTTTATAATTGTCACTTTAAAATAATTGAATATATTTTTTCTAACCTAAAAAATATGACTGACTCTGTTACCTTATGACTTATATTAAAATAGAAAAGAGGTTTAGAGAGCAACAAACAGGATATACAAAGATTATGAATCCTGCAGGATTACATTTTAGGTAATCCTCTTTGGACTAATTTTGAGTCAAAACTGTGTATGTCAATGTTTTACACCAGTGGCATGCCATGCTGAAGAAAACAATGTTTATACTTTACTGATATCAGAAAGCTTGGGATAAAAATAGAATCAACGACTAACTTCTTAAAAGGTATCATGAAAATTTAATAGGCACAAATGAAAGGCAGGAAAATAGGAGACCAAAGTAAAAAGAAAGTGAAAATGTTCAGAGAGAAGTAACGGAAATGGAGGAAAATCTAGAACAATACAAAAAGTCATTCTGTCTCACGTTTGCTGTATAAAGAAATTTTTGCAGCAGAACATTTTAATGTATATAGTGATTTTTATCTAGCATATATTTATCTAGCATATATATTTATCTAGCATTATTTGTAAAATAACAAATCATTCCTTTAAAATTTTAAACCTGGAATTACGATTTTTAATATTGCTAAAACTTCAAAATCAGTAAATAAAAAGTAATTAAAAAAAGTCATCTCAAATTGCCTAGTACGACCACACGTATGGTTAAACTAGATCTTGTGTTTTCCATCGTTAGAGGGTAAGAAATGTTAATACTTTATAATTTGTATAAATATTGTTAGAGTGTACAATTTACTGTTCATTAACATTCACTAAATCAGGGACAATTGGAAAATCTTCATGGATATAAATAATACAATGGTTACCAGGGGACTTTCTCTGCTGATGAGATAGATTTATTTGCTAATTATTTGCTTTCATGGAATGATATATTTATCCATTAAGATGAATTTCTGACAGGCTTTTGTGGTCACCCTGTTTCTGAAGGTTTCCAGCTTTGCCTAAAAGAAGCTGTGGTTATAACCAGTTTCAGCAGAAGACAGGTGCATTAGTGGTGCTGTTTTATGAATTTTGTGATATGTATAAATAGAAATAGTGTGGAAATTACACCACAGGAACTAATGTTCCTTGGCAATATTTCAGAACAGCATGGGAGTGCTGGGAAAGAAGTAGTAAGAATATATATTGGACTCTTTTGACATATTGAAGATGTTTTTTAAAGCCAGGCAAAAATTTTTCCTAACCTAGTTTTTCAGGTCATACAATTTAGCTCCTCTGATTCTTAATTATATAAACTATATAATAATATTGGCAGGTTAATATACTAATTAAATTCTGATAATGTTCTGTAATCACAATATTTTTCCTGTGGGAAGGAGTAGAAAGAAGAGTAGTAAGAGATAATGTTTAGGTAAGCAGGCAGATAAGTTGTAGGATAGAAGTGTTCTAAAATTGTTTTGTTTTAGGTTTAGGAATGTAAGTTGTTTTTACATGCATTAAAATAATTTATAAAGGATAAACCCTGGCAAAATATGTTACCACTGAACAGGCTTTTCCTTAGAAAATAATGTGAGACAAAGAGACACAGCAGGAGGCTATAGAGTTGCAAATGGATTCCTCTTTGTTGACGACCATTTATTTAAGTGTGAAGTAGTTTTTATTCTTCTGTGAAGCACATTCATACAAAGAGAAAAATGTTACTAAATGAACTCTCACATACTTGTTTTCCCCCATTAATCCTATACAAACTGATTTTTCTGAAACCTGAGGCTGAATGCTTGCAGTGATGTTTAAAACGTCCAGGGCTGCCTCAGTAGATGCTGAATGAATTCTCTGGACCTAAAGTAGTCCATTCCAGTTGCCCAGAAACATTACTTATTTTCCCCATGACAGTGAACTATAAAACACCAAAGAATACACAATTTAGCATGAAAAATATTTCTGATCTAACTTAATGTATCTGTCTCTGTAGTTGTGTTGTGTCAAAAAATGAACTAGCTCTCCATAGAGTAGTTGAACCCAATTTAAACAGGATTAGTAGAAAAATTTGAGTTCCTGCAATTGAAATGCCTTTTGATTTTCTAATTCATGGAAATGTGTGTGTGCATTATTGCATGTTCATTAAACTATAAATATTAGAGAGAATTATAGAATGTTATAAACCAATATTGCCCCAGGTTTTTTGTTTTTGTTTTTGTTTTTGTAAAAAAGGGAGGAAAGAATCATGAAGATAAAATTCACTGTAGATGTTTCAAGAGAAGGGATGGATACATGTTAGAAATATTCTAATTCACTACTGTGTTAAACAAAAGGCTTAGTTGTCACATCAGAAACACAGGAACCATAGGTCTTGCCCACTGAAATTAATGATTCAGAGAATGCAGGCAAATAACAAGCTCAGAAAAAGCATTCTTTCCTTGTACTTGACCCAACTTATCAGAAACAGATCCTAAAAATGTCCTCTCTCTGCATTAGGAGATATTTTGCTTTTGGAATAACAGAAAAGTTTTAGCCTTGTTATATATGTGGAACATTTTCTGAAAAAATAACTGCTTCGGCTTGGCATGCCTCAGTTTTACAGTCTTTCATACAGGTAGTAAATCGCTTACTTGACTAACCCTTATTCTTGGGTTGGGTCTGCCCCACAAATTTGTGAATTCCAAGTTTCTTACAGTAAACATTGCTTATAAAATCCATAAATCTGTACAAAAATACTTTGTTTCTGAATTGCTTTTGGTTAAACATATTGGTTAAGCATATTGATATTATTTATTGAAGATTTGGTAGTAAAAATCAATTACATGTGTCCCCTTCAAATATCCAATTTCCATTTTGATTGTTAATTCCTAAAATTATACGTAGTTTTGAAAAAGTCTCATTTTAAATTTCAAGACTGTATAATATGTATTATAGAGAGATTAATATATAGATAAGTAAAAAGAACATTAAAATATACACATTTTTCTCTGCTAAAAACAAAAGTAACTCATGATTTGAATAGCATTTTATAACAATGATAGAACAATTTTAATGGTGTGGGATAATTATTTACAATCAAATGCATGGGCTTTCTGAAATAGATGACAGAAGAAAGAGAGAATATGGAAAAAGTAACCAAATTTTTTGGAAATTTAATATTGAGAGGACATTTTTCATAGGTTTTTCTCAATTAATTCTTACACACACCCTTCTGTGAAGTAACTGTCCCATTTTTCAGGCAATGTGATGAGGTAATACACATTGAAACACACTATTACCTTAAAACTCCATAACCAGTTTTTTTCCACATCATTGTAGATCATAAATTTCTTTTTGGTTTAAGTGAAAAGATTGTACAGATCAATTTTAAAGAAATTATCTCTAGGGCCTCCCCAGTGATGCAGCGGGTTGAGCATAGTGCTATAGAGCTGTCTGCAGCCTCGGTAGCCCGGGTTCAATTCCCGGCCGGCCAGAGAGCAACCCACATGGCGCAGCAAACCTCTCCTGCCTTGCTTGCTGCTCCCCTCAGCAGCCTCTTCGGTCCATCTGCCTGTGCTTCTCCCCGCTCTCTCTGGTGAATTCTCTCACCCTCCTGTGCCGCTGACCTGTACCCCAGTTCTTATATAAATAAATCTTAAAAAAAAAAGAAATTGAGCCTCCCCTGGTGGCGCAGCGGTTGAGCACTGGGCTGTGAAGCTGCCCGCAGCCTCTGCAGCGCCGGTTCGATCCCTGGCTGCCTGCGAGGGTCCCACATAGCGCGACAGACCTCTCCTGCCTAGCCCGCTGCTCCCCTCAGCAGTGTATTTTGTCAGTCAGTCTGTTCTGTTCCCCGCTCTGGTGAATTCTCTCACCCTCCCGCGCTTCTGACTGTACCCAGTGCTTGTATAAATAAATAAATAAATCTTTAAAAAAAAAAAAAAAAGAAAAGAAATTATTTCTAAATACTTAACTTTCTGTACCCTGAAGTTTTTTTTTTTTCAGAATTAAAGATGCAAATGTCCATTGTGTATACATGTTAACAATCATTTACAATGTAAAACAAATATCTGTGGAAACTATTACTTTAAAGAAAAGCTTGAATTCTTGTTCTTTCAACTGTTTTCACATATATGGATTATCCAAATAGATTATTCTTCACATTTATCTTTTTTTTTTAATTTTTTTAAAATAAATTTTATTTTTATATTCCCCATACAATTGCAGCCCCCTTATTTTGACCCCAATCCCTCCCCTCCCTGCCCCCCACCCTCCATAGAGTGTCTCTGGTTCATAGTTTTTTGTTGATTTTGATTTTCACTTTCTTATAGTTATTCATTTTCCTGGTCCCTTATTTAAGTTTTCTAGATTCCTGCTATGAGTGAGACCATCTGGTATTTTTCTTTTTGGCTTATTTCGCTGAGCATGATCCCTTTCAGCACCATCCATGTTGCTGCAAATTGCATGTGTTTATCTTTTTTGAATGCTGAGTAATATTCCATGGTGTATATGTACCACATCTTCTTGATCCAGTCATCTCTTTTTGGGCATTTGGGTTGTTTCCAAAGCTTAGCTATTGTAAATAGTGCTGCTATAAACATAAGGGTGCAGGTGCTCTTTGGAATTGATGTTTCTGTGTCCTTTGGGTAAATACCTAGGAGTGGAATTGCTGGATCAAATGGAAGCTCTATGTTTAGTAGGTCCAGAAATCTCCACACAGCTCTCCATAGTGGTTGGACCAGTTTGCGCTCCCACCAACAGTGCAGGAGAGTTCCTTTTTCTCCACATCCTCGCCAACATTTGTTGTTGCTAGTTTTTTTAATATGTGCCTTTCTCACTGGTGTGAGATGTTATCTCATGGTAGTTTTGATTTGCATTTCCCTGATTACAAGTGATGTTGAACATTTTTTCATATGCCTGTTGGCCATTTGCATTTCCTCTTCAGAGAAGTTTCTTTTTAGCTCTTCTGCCCATTTTTTGACTGGATTATTTTCTTTGTTTGTGTTGAGTCTCATCAGCTCTTTGCAGATTTTTGTGATCAGTCCTTTATCATTAGTGTTGTGTGCAAAAATGTTCTCCCAGTCGGTGGGGTTTCTCTGTTTTTGTTATTGTCTCTTTTGCTGTGCAGAAGCTCTTTAATTTGATGTAGTCCCAGCTGTTTATCTTTGCCTTCACTATCACTGCTTTGGGTGATGTGTCTGTAAAGATGTCTTTGATGTGCATATCACGTAGTGTTTCGCCTATATTTCCTTCTATGTATTTTATGGAACTAGACATAAGAACATGGGTTATTCTTTTTGGTGGCCCACTTTTTGTTTCTGTTACTGTATTTCAGTAACATCTTTTTAAGGAACATTTCAAAATCCACTTGAGTAAATGAATCTACCATTTGAGTTTCTAATCTATTTTTGTTAACCAAATGGCAAGTACAAGCATATATAAACTATCGTTATATCTGACTTTGAATCAGTGATCTTAACTTATAGAACATTACACCTTAGTCTGTGGCTTTTAAGTCATGTGGACTGACAAATATATTTTTTGATTTGCCTCATTGTGCAGATGAGAAAACTGAGATTCAAAACTACAGCAATATATCAAAGTTTGTCAAAAGTTCAGAAATAGAATAATGTATCAGATTGGACTCTAGGGTATTTGCATTTAAATCTCCTACATCAATTTTTTGCAATTCAGATTCTAAGACTACTAAATCAGAACCTCAGGAATAAGAGTCTTGTACCTTTATTTTAAATAAGATGTTCCTCTTCCTCACACCACGCATGCACACTGAAGTTTGAGAATTACTGAGCTAGTGCATTGCCATCCACATCTGTAAAAGCTTTATCATCATGCAAATGAGCATCTGTATGATACATTTTAGTGGTAAGTGTGTTAAAAACTGCAATTCCATGGTTATGAAACACTGTGTGAAGGCATAATCAAATGGATCAGTAGAGAATAATTTAATTCCCTCTACCTTGCACATTCTTTGCATTTATAAAAATTTAGTTCTTTGACATCCAACTACTGAATTCAGAAACTTGAAGCATAGTATTTTTAAATGTCTTTAAGGGCCTGGTATTGTTGCAAGAAATTAGTTTTCTACTTCATTACATTTTCCAGGTATGGGAGCCTTTACTATTTAACCTTTCTGAATGTCATATAGACAATATCATGAATATTAGTAGAGCTTGAGGGGGAAGCGAATTAACACAAAAGTACAATTTACTCCATTTATGTCTTCATTCAAGCAACACAAACATTAATTAGCACTTGCTTTCTGTGGACTATCTCCCAAGTCACAAGTCATATATAGGTTGATATGTCTTGTTAGTAATGAAATTTTTTTTGTCCAAACAACTTATATCTTTTCACTGAGTGCTTGTTATAAACTGTAGAGAATGCTGAAGAAATGCCAACTTCTTAGAAAAGCATACTATTTACCATGGTAAAGCAAAAGGCATTTATTTGTCTTTAAAAGAAACCCTGCTGATAAAAACAAAAAAATGGGGGTCATGAGGACTATCATCATAGTGAGACTATAGGAAATCTTCATAAAAATGTGACTGACTTTGAATAAAGGCTAGATTCTTAGGGAAAGAGATGGGCATGTCATAGTGAGATGTAGGTGTAAATAAACATGTGTAGACATATGCTCATTGCAGCAAAAAAGGTTTTTGAAATAGTATAAATGTCCATTTCAATGCAAATGAATAAATGCATTTATTGAATGGACAAAGTCACTAAATCATTAAATTGAATAAACTGGATTTATATTTAGTAGTATGCAATAAATAACTGAAATAGTGTTAAGAGAAAGGTGCTGAATGATATGCTGTGCATTGATTCTTGCTACTGAAAAATACAGGCATATGAACAAGAAAAGATATTGGAGAAATGCTCACTAAATTTATCATAGTGTTAGCCTTTTAGTAGGTAGAAAAATGGGAACAGGAATGAGAGTTAAATTTTCTCATTGTTTCTTATAAACACCTTGAAATTGTGACAAGATAATTGATGGTCATTTTTTCTCCTTGATTTTCATAGGACTTTGTGATTTTTGACACTTTTAGTGTTAATGAAGAACTTTTTCTTTATAAAAATTTATTTTTTAACAAAAAATGGAATTAACATCAATTAGTGTTCATGTGCTCATTTAGTCTTTGTGTGTTTATAGATTTTCGTCACTTCTCTTCATAGGTAAACGTGACTCGTGAAGACTCTCCAAGTGAAGATCCAGTCTTTCTTAGAACTTTGGGAAAAGGAGATTGGTTTGGAGAGAAAGCTTTGCAGGGGTAAGTTCATTGATTACACAACGTACAGTTTTTGATTGAATACTGCTTTAATTCCTATCCTAAATTTTGATCTCCTACCAAAACAGACTACTGCTTTTCCTACTGTCACACTCTTTTTGATGACCGTTTTTCTTTCCAGCCTGATTTGTGAGTTCTTTGATGGACTATGGGGTTAATTAACTTCTGTGTAGTAAATTACATTCATGGGAAAATCTTCCAGCGTTTGTGTTTTTTCACCACAATATTTATTAAAATTCTAAAAGAAATGTCTCTGTTAAGTTTACTTTATATAACAATTTTACTCAGAATCAAAGGGAAATGATTGAGAACTTTGAAATCCCAAAGCCTGATTGCACAAGCAATAGATCATAAGACAATCTGGGATTCACCTCTGGGTGCTTGTTGTTGTCTCTGGTTATGGTCCCGAAGGGGGCAATGATGTGGGAGTGGAGGTCAGGCACATCCACAATCACTGCTGGTGGGTTGTGAAGGCAGGATTCATAGAGGTGTACTGCAAGGTCACAGTAATTCTACTTGTAACCTGAGACCCCAAGAAACAAGTATTTGGGATGTTTATCCATATGCTCTGGGAGAAAATCCCAATTGACTTTGCACAACTCATTTTACAGAATGCATGACAAATATGTCAAATATATTTGGGTATTCTAGTTTTCCAAGAAGCAACATATATTGATTATCATTATGTACAGATGAGACTTTAAATCTCACTTGAATAAGAAAGAGCCAGTAAACATTTATTTTTGTATTAAACTCTAGATGAAGGGGTATCTGCTAGAGTAGATTAGCACAGACTAGGACAAATACAGAATAACAGCAGAATAGGACATACTTTATTCCTAGAATATGGAACAGTCAGTTTTGCTTCCATTTCATATTAGGCCTACACTAAAAAAGCTGCATGATAAGCATTTTTCTTGAAAACATTAGGAAGAAAGAGGTTAGAGCATTTTTATTTTTTAGCCACAATTAGGCGGCAGTTTTCATTCCCTCACTTACTATTTTATAGCTACAGAAATGAAACAGGGTTCCTGATCAGTCACCTTACTCAGACTGCATTACCTTATAAAATTTCAGATCTCAGTGTCTTTGGCTTTCATTTCCCCAGTTTGTTTTAATACTTTGCCTATGTGTATGTGCTTGCCATTCAGTGAAGTTAGAAGAAATACCATGTTTAACGTAGATGCATAAGGGAATGCAAAATACATTGTCTTCCTAATATAAAGTAAACATTTATACTTTTTGAGTTTTTTATTTTAATTTTTTAATTTTTTTACATCATTGTTCATTTTTAAACAATATTTGCTTCCCCCCACCCCCTCAGGTGTAGTCCCCATAGAGTTTCCTTCACCAATGCACCCGTGCACCATCACCTCAGTCCCCTGTGCTCCTCCCTCCCTCCCTCTGATCCCTCTCCCTCCTCCTCCCCTGCAGGATGTCTCTGATTTATAATCATCCATTTTTTGCTTTGTTGTATTTTGTACTGTTATTATCATTTATACTTTTAATCTTTGTGCTCCTTCCTTAATTTGTACTTTAATCCTTCTTTCTCTTGATTATTACATATGCAGAACATTTTAAAGAATAATACTACATGGTTTCGTTGGTCAAAGATTAAATACCTTCATGGAAAATGTCATTTCCATCAAAGCCAAAGAACCCAAAACACTTTCAGTTATTTCTGATTGAGATTATAAGTGAACACCAGAAAATGAAACCTATTTGAGAATTGACTATTTTTATGTTCTAGCTTATTGTCCTTGAATCTTTGTGCCAATTAAGAATGTTTCTGAATTCCTGCTATGAGTGAGACCTCAACGTAGATGCATAAGGGAATGCAAAATACATTATTTCGCTGAGAATGATCCCTTCCAGCTCCATCCATTTTGCTGCAAATTGCATGAGTTTATCTTTTTGATTGCTGAGTAATATTCCACTGTGTATATACCTAAATAAGGGACCAGGAACAAGACCAATTATAATAAAGTAAAAATCAAAATCAACAAGCAACTGTAAACCAGAGACATACTGCGGGGCGGGGGAGGGAGGGAAAGGGAGTAGGATCAAAACAAGGGTGGTGGGAATTGTACGGGGACAATAACCAAGATGAAAATGCATATTGTGCAAAAATGAAAAATGATGTAAAAAATATATAAAATAAAAAAATATTAAAAAAGTAAAAAAAGCAAAAAAAAAGTGCAGGTTTTTTTTTTAAGATTTATTTATTTATTTATACAAGAACCGGGGTACAAGCCAGATGCGCAGGAGGGTGAGAGGATTCACCAGAGACAGAGCAGGGAGCAGAACAGGCAGATTTACTGAAATACACTGCTGAGGGGAGCAGCGGGCAAGACAGGAGAGGTCTGCTGTGCCATGTGGGACCCTCGCTGGCTGGCCAGGATCTAACCGGCACTGCAGAGGGTGAGAACAGCTCCACAGCACAGTGCTCAAACGCCAGCGCCACCAGGGGAGGCCCCACCCTTCCTTCTTTGAACTTCCCATCCTTTGATATCCTCACAGTCAGTAGCACTCATTAGTGCTATTGTTAGCACTGAAGAAATAGAACCAAGTAACCATATTCAGATTTGAGTTCATTATCTGGCACGTATTTGTTGGGTGAATAGATGCATAGATGGATGGCCAGATAGACAATGAATGAATGAATAAAACAGTATCTCCAATAACACCCAATCTTGCAACTCTTTTTTTTGTCACTGATCATTTTCACTACTTGAACTTGTTTGATGGTAGACTAGGGGTAATGATCTCATTTAACTACAGAGGGCAGGCTGGTGATATAGATGATTAAATAAGGTGAGTAAAACTAGAGGCAAATTGGAAAGAAAGCCTTATATAATGAGGACAGAAATAACTGAGGACCAGCTCATCGCTATGTCTTTTTTTAAAGAAAAACAGAAAAAAAGTAACATGATTTTTGTGACCTGATTAATAAAAATCTCTGTAAGCCAACAGAACATTATTTTGAATCTTAATGTTTCATACAAGAAATTGAGTTTTCATAAATCCGATTGATTTGTTTTACTTGTTTCCCTTTATAAAACTTAACAATTTTATATAGCTTCAGAATATAAAGACTTTTGGGTAACTGTATATCCTTTTGGGTAATAACTATACTTTTCCACAAACCATATCATTTTTATACTTGGTAGACAAATTTTATAGTCTGCCTTTTTTGATTACAGAACACAGCATATCCAGTGGTTGTTTTCTCACAAACAAAATTTATATGCACTGGGAATTTTCATTTTATTTTCTTGGTAGTAAAATAAATCCTTAACCATTCTTTTTTAAATATGTGAGTAGCTAAAGCTAGTATTGGTAATTCAGTGACAAATCTGAAAGTCCCCTAGCTCTAGAATTCCATTATATAGTTCTTCTACTTGAAGTAATAGTCTTCATTTCTTTGTTGGATAGAGACAATATAGTCATAAAAGTGTTTACCCATTAAGCAATAGTATCTCAATACTAGCATACTTGGGGTCATGTATTGCTTTATTGCTTTCACTTTGTTCAATTGATAGGGAAGAAAATCATTCAGTATAGTTTGACTTTTTTTTTTTTTTTTGCTAATGCTATACAGAGAAGGCAAAATGTCTTGCTTTCTACAGAAGTACTCTTTCCTTTGTACATTAAAACTGAAGTTGTATTTAGGAGGAATTTCTTCAGACTAGTCTCATGACTCATAAATCAATCCATCAGTAGTCTGACACTCCATTGTTTCAATATCTCTACTTGATTTGAAACTACAGAGAATCGTTAGATGTTGTCAAATTCTAAACTAAACACACACTTTGCATCTGTAGTAGAAAGAAATACACATGCCTCTAATCTACACTAACATTTGAGTCCTCAGCATAGCACTGATATAAGAGTTGTAGCTCATAAGTCACTCTGCCTGGATTAGGACCTACTCTGAGACCCTGAGAGTCTCTTCTTTGATCTGAAATGGAGATTATGATTACATCTGACTTGTGTGGTGGTTGTGAGAAATTATCAGGTGGATCCTTATAAGCATTTGGGTAAATTCATAAAATTTAGATCAGGGTTCAAAAAAGCTGCTATCATTGCTAACATTTTATTCTTTATTTATCATCATCATCACCTAACTATCCACATTACCAGGAATGTTTTATTACTTTTGACTAAAGTTTAGGATAGTCATTGTAACTGATACAGCATTAGATTTTGAGTCAAGCACTCTGGTTCTGTAATGTTGGGATTTTTTTATAGTTTTGCTTTATCACTTTATTAGTTTTAAATGTCAGATTATTTGAAGCTTTCTATTACCTTCAGTTTTGAGGTACAAATTGATTCATTTGTCATATCTGTTGATATTCCCACCTGATTGTGTGTTTTAGTGGAGTCTGTGGGGTTATTCTATGTGTGTTTTGACTGTATGTCCAACTCATGATGCTGGTGGCCTGAGGGATTCCCATGTGGCAGGTTATTGGAACATCCCTGTGTAACATCATAGGTTTCATATTTGCACCTACAAGGATGAACTTCAGCTTGTCCCTGAGATTTTGGGGGGAAAAAAAAGGTAATGCGATTTTGTAACAAAATTAGTAAAAAGCTCTGTGAGCAACCAGAACATTACTTTAATCTCAATGTTTCATACAAGAAATTCTGACTTTTCACAAAATTGATTGATTTGTTTTACTTATTTCCCTCTGTAGAACTTACCATTTTTATATAATTTCAGGATATAAAGACTTTTGGGTGACTGAGGATAGGATTGAAATAATTCAGACCACCCAGTTGCGAGACTTGGGTTTCTGTTTCTCTCAGGAATATCTTCTTGATATTTATTTGGTCTCTCTAATGCTTATGTCTTGTGTGTAGAAATCCTCTGGACTCTGATCTCGTGATCAGAGTCATCATCTTGATAGGGTAAGAGCCAAACTCTTTTACCTGATCCCGATGGGCCCTGCTGTCCAGCTCCAAATCATTTCTCTGAACTT